ATTAGCTTATGACTAAATGCATCCCTGTGTGAGCTGGAGATATCAGATATAGCCCTAAGGAGAATTATGCACTGATAATTTAAGTTACAGTGTTGTAAGAAATTCTGTCCTGTAGATCCAGGAGCAGCAGGAAAGGAGACGTCTGGAGAGGGAGGAGAAAGAGCGACATGAGTCACAGCTGGAGGCCTACATGAAGAACCACCAGCCATGGGGTCGAGGTGGAGGAGGAGCCCCTCTCAGAGACAGCACAGGAAATCTAATTGGTAGGTCTCAACTTGCATCGTCTTTTTATTTTATAACATACAATGTTGGGCTTGGCAATAAACCAAAGCAAAAACCTTAGAGCAAGGAATCAGTCTTATACTTATCTTGATATATTTTTATTTTATGTCTCCCAGACCTAATCCAATTCCTCTACAAAAAGTCATGTTTCTAACTCACTCTTTCTGTTGCTCAGCTGACCTCCACCAGATGCACAAGGTGAATGAGGAGGTGTACACCAACCCGGAGCAATGGCAGAGGAAAGCCACTGCTGCCGTGATGGCACGACAGACAGAGCAACCTGACCCCAACGAGAGAGTCTCTGGTACCATTGCCAGATTACTAATCTAAGATGATACCTTATCTAGGTTCTAATGTTGAATAGATAATAGAGTATTACATTCATTACTGTTTACATGTTACAGAGCACAGTCAGACATGACTGTGTTATTGTCTTTTTCAGATTAATATCAGAATCTTGGTTTCCATGTAAATGTGTCTAGTGTTTTGCAGTTGGAACGTTTAGCATCACATTTATCAACTGGGAATTATAGTGTCTGCTAAAAATAACACTTGGGTTCCATAAATGTGAGTGATTATGTAATTTAAGTGTTAGCGTACGGGTTTGAGGAGCCAGCACCACTTTGGTGGTCCAGCACCAAAAGAATCATCGAGTCTGATCTTTAGAGGTAACAGGGAGAAATAAAGCGAGTGGGAGAGAAACAGAGAAAGATGGAGGGGGAGAGATAGAGAGTCGGGACAAACGTGTGCTGTGTTACTGGGCCACTCCAGCGCCCATGGACTCTCAGCAAGACTCAAAGCCACACTCGGCTTCAAAAGGGAGCCGTGAAGATTTATTTTTTTTATGTTTACAAAAACATATTTATTTATTTCTCGTCATTTATCTATTTATTTCTTGCTGTCCCAGAATCCCTTGCTCTGCCACTGGAATCATGTTCGATGACGCTGGCGTGCTCGCCCTCCCTCTTTTTTACCCCCCTTCTCTTTTAATACCACTGCAGTTGAAAATCAAACTGCTCTAAAACAAACTGATGTACTCTTTAATATAGTCATCACATCATCACAGGGTCCTTACGTGTCTGCCTTGGTGACAACTGCAGGGCTGCTTAGCTTAGCCCAGCGACGGCTGCCACTTTGTTGGTCGAGAGGGAGACCGTGAGAGTGGGACGTGAGTGAAAAGAGAAGAGACAGAAAGAAAAGTCCCCTGGATCATGGTTGAGTCAGCAGCACCTTTGATTGACAAGGTCTAATCAGCTTATCTCCATCCTAATAAAGTTGGTAGCCTGCGGTGTTGCTCTCTACCTGGCATGGTGTGAACTTTGGGCTCGGCTGGGGCCCCCGAGGGCCCGGCTCAGACCCTCTCTGCTTATCTAAACGGGACTGAAATCAATCCCTAATGAGCTGTTTTCATTTTGCAGGATTGATTTCAGGCCCCTAAACACCAAGAACACTTGCCTAAGAAGTCTTCTCAGCTTCTTGCTGGCCACCTTTAAAATGCAGAGCAGCAATGCTTTTGTCTCTCTGTCTTTGTTTCAGCGGCTCATTTTGCTACCCTTGCTAAAATATTTGTGTCGGCTGAACAAATATAAACGGGATAACTCACTCCACATTCCCACTTCATTTAGTGAGTTGAAATATGTAGAAATATTGCCAATGAGATGCATTTGTAGAAACTGGTGATTGTCATNTAAGAAAATACACATCATAATCCCACATTGAAATATAAGATACCTGTCACAATCCATTTACTACTGGGTGACTACATAGAAACCAATACGGTGGGAAAATATAATGACACTGTTAAATCCTTTCACACAGTCACAAAGCACAATAAAAGACAGACGCTTAGATGCTGTCTGCCACTATCTGTAGCTCATTTCCATCGAAATACACAAACATAATATTTGCGTCTCACCTGATATATTAACAATATCAACAAAACATGGGTCTTAAGATCTTTTCCTTTATCTTCAACTATTTCAGAGAAGAAAGTTCTTTGGATTTCAGACTCACAGTTAAATTCCGTCATGTCCTCTTTGTGCAGGTTTCACACACGTCCATACCCCCCAGTTTGCCAGAGGCAATGTGTTCGCCAACCAGCCCACCCAGCACCAGCTCCATGAGCAGGACAAGTACAAAGCTTACCTCAAACAGCAGGTACTGCTTCAAACAGCCGGTGCTGCCTTGTCTAGCATCACTTCTGCTGCCAGCTGAAAACCCTTTGGAGGTTTTCTTCTCTGCAAATTGAACTTGCTGCCTGTGGAATCATGCAACTAAAAATTTAGTTTACTAGAGCTGGAAGTAGCTTTTGTTTCCTTCCTCGAGAGAATTGTCCCAGTCTGCAAGTGATGTTCATTGGCTTTGTTTCCCTTTTTTGGTTTTTCAACAGATTGAGGAGAAAATGCTTAAAAAGGCAGAGGAGAGGGAGAAGACCAGACTGGAGGAGGAGAAGGAGGAGAAGAGGCTGGCAGAGCAGAGAGCTCGCATCCAGAGGGAGTACGAGGAAGAAGAAGAGAAGAAAAAACGAAAGGAAAAGGAGGTAAAGTACTAAAGAAAAGCGCCTTTGGCAGGTTTTTTTCTTAATGGTGAAAAATTCTGATCCTTTTCCACTAGAATACAAGAAAACAGTATAAATCTCTCACTGCCTGTCACTCAGCAAAAGGCCAAGAACGAAGAGCTGATTCAGCTGGCTGAACAGAGGAAGAAGGAAGCTGAGAGGAGGAAGAAGGAAGCAGAGGAGAAGGAGAATGCAGCACTAAGAAAGCAGAATGAGGTGGAGAGACAGACCCGGGTGGAGCAGGTTGGTTCTCTGACCCATAGACTGTAACATGATGGTTTCCCAAAAGTGAAGCCAAAGAGTTTTGATGTGGCTGCAGTGCATGTCATAAACCCCGGCTCCTCCAAGACGTGTCATCATCTTTATTTACAGACTTCAACAAAAAATACAAAGATATGTAATTACAATTTTAAACAGTGTTGTACTCTTATGATGCAGTAATTTATTCAGTAACCAATTTCCAAGGTATATACCTATTAATAATTTTCCTGTGCTTACAGTTACACAACAGTGACAACAATTATCTTCTCCCTGATATTGACCAAAGGATTTTTTCTAGAGCAGCAATGACCATGATCCATCCGATCAAAGTTTTTACAGTAATGTTTCAAGTTGCAACAAAGAGAATTAATATTTCTTCTGCTTTTCTTAAGAATGAATTTTGACGGGTGTATTTATCTGAACCCCGATTGGCAAGCAGGGATGGACTATGTAAAAGGAGAGTACAGCCATAACTACATAATATTTTAACATTCAGTCCATCAAACACCACATCTGACAGTTACCATCTTTGCTGAATAATTTTTATCTGAAGTAAATAAGATTTGTTGTTAGATTGCCATTTGTCTGTGTTTTGTTCCAATTCAAGACAAACTGAAACAGAGGGCGACAAGCATCAAAGTATCAGGCTGAATTCAATTAACCATGGTCACATTATAATGTTGTTATTTGGTGACCGCCTTTTCTTCAGGTATTCAGGGAGCCTTCGCCTCCAATCCCAACCCTGCAGAAGAAACATGCGTCACACCGTTACACCCCCAGACCCCCTACTGTGGACAGCCAACGCTCCACTGCTCCCCTGTCTGTGAGTGGCACACGCAGAGTACGCAAACTGTACAAAATGTATCTCTACAGTTATTCCTAAGTATCAGTTTGGTTCCATTTGAGTTGTTTTAGTTCCTTAACAACTTCCTCTTGGATTATTAAAGGTAATTTGTGTTTTCTCCCTTTATTTTCATACCTTCTCACTCATCTCTCTGTGTTTCAGGAGCGTTCTTCGTCTGGTCTCCAGTCACCTCCTGTCCCTGCTTGTAAAAACAAGCTTCGAGCTACAGGTACTACACACACACACACACACACACACACACA